AATACAAGCTGGTCCCTCGTTCTTGTCAGTGGGGTTTCCAGAGCAGTAGGACGATATTCGACCATCACAACTTCATATCCGCTGTGTACAACTGGAACATCGTTGAGCTGTGAGATATCAGACTGATATAGCGAAAATCAGCGATCATGTCTCTTGCCGGAATGCGCAATCTGCTCTCTCAGTGGTTTCCTCCACAGCCAACCTACATCGAGCAACACGTCCCATCTCAGAAAGGGAAAGTGTTCATCGTCACAGGCGCCAACCACGATATCGGGTTTGAGCTTGTCAAGATTCTATATGCAACTGGGGCTAGAATATACATGGCATCGCGATCCAAGGTGAGTCTCATACTCTCATCATAATGGCAATATGATAGATCTCTGAGCTTCGGATAATTGCCAACTTCCGTGAGACCTGCGTGCCATCTTACCTCGAGTGTCTTCAACTATTATTTTGCGATTAAGGCGGATGTATGAGTTTTGTAACCGTTCGAAGACTGACCAGACCTACCACTGATATAGGAACGTGCCGAGAAAGCGATAGAGACCATCACAACCGCCACACCAGCACCCGAAACCCCCGGTACCATAGTCTTCCTTCCCTTTGATCTGAACGATCTGGACAGCGTCAAAGCAGCCGCCGCCATCTTTGCGCAACAAGAGCCAAAGCTCCATGTTCTCTGGAACAATGCTGGTTCAGGCGCTTATAGAATTGAAGAAGGCGCCAAAACGAAGCAAGGATTCGAGCCAATGGTTGGCATGCACTGCATTGCTGCGCAACTGTTTACCCACCTCCTCCTTCCCCGACTCCGAGCAGCCGCGGGAGACGCTCCAAAAAGCTCGGTGCGTGTTGTTTGGACTTCGAGTTTCATGGCGGAACTGTCGACTGGCGACAATGGCATAGACTTTGACCATCTCGTAGAGGGTACGCCTGATCGTGCGCTGAACTATGCCGTCTCCAAGTTTGGTAACTGGCTTCTCGGCCGCGAGATGGCCTCTCGTTATGGTTCTGACAATATTGTCAGCGTCGTTCAGAACCCTGGTAACTTGAAAGCTGGCGCCTATGACGGGGTCCCGGCGTTTTCAATGCTCTTTATCACTCCCTTCCTGTACGAGACAAAATTTGGTGCGTACACTGAGCTGTACGCAGGCCTATCCCCCGATATCTCGCTTGATAATAATGGCGCGTACGTTATCCCCTGGGGCCGCATTCGCATCGACGAAGATATTCCGAGGAAGGATATCGTGAAGGCCTTGAAGCCGGAGGCGGAAGGGGGCCTTGGTTATACGACCAAGTTCTGGGAGTGGTGCGAGGAACAATGGAAGCCCTTCGTCTGAAACACGCGATTTTTGATTCTTGCTCTGAGGCTCTTACTCGGACAACTCAGGTTGAAGGGGAAGAGACATAGGGATTAGTCCTTGTGTTTGACCTAGCTCTACCATCTCAAAATGCATAATATCAACGCCATGAGACGTGTATTGATAACGCCTTACTTGTCTAAGCATATGGTGAAACATTGCTCGAAATGAAATTTGGCTAACAACAAGCTTCGGCATGTCGCAATGAATTCCAGGGTCGCAGACCCGACCTGCATAGTAGTGGAGCGACGTCGGGTCCGGACCCGGCCTGGCGGATAGGCGGAATTACGTGTAGTCCAGTTGAGGAGCCTGAGGCAATGTTGGGTCGGTATCTGCACTCTCAGAAGAATTACTGGCACTGTCGGTCAAGGTCTCAAAACACTTGGACTATAAAGTATCAGGGTATCTATCTCGGCCGCAGCCAATTCATTATACATAAAATACATTGGAAGAGTTTATGCGGCAATATCCTTGCCCTTCTCCTCAACCTCGAGTTCGCGAGTGGGCTGTTGCGCCTTGCTGCCCCAGCGACCCATGAAGAAGTTGCCGAAAGCTTGGGCATTGTTTCTCATGTTCATGGCGACGATCTCGCTGGTCGGCTTCTCGAAAAGACGATCAATATCCTCGAGTGTCTTGTCCTTGGTCTCGGGCATGAAGATCATCTATGGATTGTTAGTCTGCGTTATGATATCACATGGAAATGAAAGTATTTACCTGGTAGAACCATCCCAAGATGGCAATGCCTCCATAGAAGCCGAGAGTGAGACCAGTACGGGTCATGGCCTCCTGCATGGCAGAGAAGTTGTAGGTGACAATGAAGGAAGACAGGAAAAGCAGACCAGACGAGGTGGTCATGCCGTAGGATCGGAGGTAGGTGGGGTAGACCTCAGAAGGAACAACCCAAGTGAGACAAGCGTAGCAGCCAAAGAAGCCCATGTACAGGGCCAAACCGATGAGGTAGCAGGCAACGGCACCGGTGGTATTGGTATCAGTAGGAATCTGATAGCTGGCGCCAATGATCACCAAGCCCACGAAGAAACCGGGAAGCATAGTGTTGGCCCAGAAGCGACGACCGAACTTCTCCATGTAGAAGCAGGCGGGGATGGTACCGATGAGCAGAGAGCCACCACCGACAAGAGACATGTAGGTAGCCTTCTCGTCGTTGAAACCGATCTGCTGCATGAGGATGGACATGTAGTACATGATGGCGTTGACACCAGTAAGCTGGCCAAGAAGAATCATGATGTTGGCGTAGACCAAAGCACGGCGGGCGCGGGGGACGGTGATGAAATCCATCCAGGGGAAGCGCTTATTCTTGGCACCCTCGGAAACCTGCTGCTTCTCATCGACGACGGAGACCTTCATGACGAAGAACTCTTCTCTGGCCTCAGGAGTAGAAGTGCCACGGATACGCTTCCACACCTTGTAGGCTTCGAGCGTCTTGCCCTTGTGCATCAGGTAACGAGGGGACTCAGGCAGGAAGAGCATGCCGGCAAACATGATGGTGGAGAAGAGAAGGGATGATCCGAGAATCCAGCGCCAGTTGCCGGGCACGTGGATGAAGATGGCGGCGACGGCGTAGCCAAGAACTTCACCGAGAGCGATGTTGAGCTGGTATAGGGAGACGACGTTACCACGGATGCGGCGTTCAGCGGTCTCGGCGACGTAGACAGGGACGGTACCACCCTCGAGACCGACACCCATGCCAAGGATAACACGGGCAGAAACGATCATGCCTTTAGGATAAGTTAGCCAGGCCCGGCAGGCAGAAGTGGAATGGTATGTCAATTGACTCACCAAAGTTCTGTGCGCCGGCGCAAAGTGCGCCACCAATAGTGTAAAGGACGCAAGAAATGATGATGGACATCTTTCGGCCGAGGTATTCGTTCGAGGGACTAAGGATGATGGCACCACCGACGGCACCGAGAGGCATGGCAGAGTTGACGAGAGAGTTTTGGCGGGTCGTGAGACCAAGGTCACCGGGGAGGAAGAGGTTGGCACCAGAGATGAGAGACTGATCGAGACCGGAGAGAAGGCCACCCATTGAGGCGAAGGCTACAATGAGCCAGGTGAAGTACTTGGTGTTGGTGAACTCCAGTTGGAAAAAGCCCTTCTTCAAACCACCAGCAGCCTCCAACTCCCGCTCCATGCTGTCGATGAAGGCATCGACCTCCCAACCACCAGCCGCAGCGATGGCGGCGGCATCCTTCTCGTTTACACCAGGAAGGGCGTTGGCGAGGTTCTCGACGTGAGCCTCATTTTGACTGTCCGGGTTGTGTTTGCCCGAAATCTTCGGGGCAAGATTGACTCCGTGCATGTTGTTGGGGGTTTCCGCGCTGCCGCGAGCCAAGACCTCGTCTAAACAGAGATTGGCCCAAAAGGGTAATAGTAGATCTGATTAAGGCTGATGCTAAGAAATGCGGCTCTGATGGTCCGGAGGGAAAAAGACACCTGCCAAGGAAAGACAACTAACAACAGAGACTGGGACGAGCCGGGCTTTTAATCACCCTTCACACTTCTTACCACTACTCACGGCGACACACTAGTAGATCAACAATAAGAGCGGCCAATATTCCAAGGCAGCCAACCCGAAGACGGCATTGATGGATTGTGGATTCCTCGCCCGACTCTCGACGTGACCATCTGTCTAACCTCGACACCAACATCGTCATCCGAAATTTTTGTCTGGTGTTAGTGTGGAGACCTGGAGAGAAACGGCCGAAGTAGGAGCGACCTCTTGTCCGCACTTCAGGCCTCTTCTCCAGTGGAGAGACCCCAGGAACACGGAACACGCACTTGGAGAACATTAAGCAGGCTGGGGGAGAGGCCGGAGGGAGGGTGGAGGGCAGCTGTTGCGGGCGCTGGGCTCTATTGCCCTTGGGGCTCCAGACTTTCCTCATACACAATCTGCAGAGCGTGACCATGGGGCGACGCGGAGCCCGGGGTCCCAGTTGTCTGTTCTGGCCCCCATTTCTGGCAGGCAAAAAAGCAGGCCAAAGGACTCGCGGAGATCAGGCCGCGACGACCGTTCTTCTTCCCATCTGACTCGCGACTCCACATCCGCGCAGGATAGCGTTTGTGCGAGACCCGCCCGAAGGATGGGTGGTTTGACCGAAAATTCTCCCGGTACCGCGTTCTGGATCTACTCGGTGACAATCCGAAGCCCGCACCGTTCGTTCTCGTGACGACGACGGAAACGTACGGAGTCTCCGCGTGGAGAAAGCAGACTCCAGAGTCACCAACATGTTAAAATTTCTCACTCTGGGGATTGGATTGGGGAAGGTTTTCTGGGACCTTGGAGATGTGGGCTGACGTCAACCCTAGGGGGAAAAATCTAGAAGCGGCACATGGACAGTCAGACTCGTGTCGCTTGCGAGCAAGAAGTTTTCGGTGGTGCTCGGCGATGATAGCCGCCCGTTAACGACGCATGTTTCTTCTCTCTCTGGTTATTCCTGTGTTAATAATCTTTTCCCAAATACCCATGGACAAGACCTAGCATCCCCCCGGCCTTGCTGTATCTATTACTTTACAGAGAACGTGGTCTGACACATCACCACGTGCTGGGAACATTTCTCCTTCGGGACGAGCAGATCGCCATCGTCGTGCCTGACCGCTTGGTGGCTTGTTCCTAGCTCCCGCCAGCTACAGGTCCCGGTCCGGGTGGGAAGCCGCATTCTTGGCTGATGACAAGAAATATCTGGCCGGCTTGGCGCTCCGTGAGGCGGCAGGGGAGTCTGCCAGGCCGCAGCCGCCGCACCGATCGCGCGATGCCAAGTCGGCGAGCAGCGCACTAAGGCAGGCGAAGAGGAAGAGAAACGGCTTCCGACTGGTGCTAGTCCAAAATTCGGCCTTCTAGCTCGTAGACCGGCTTAGCAAGGCCGATACGACACTCGTCCTGTTACAGATTGTCACGAAAATTCGTTCATCCCTTTTTAGCGTTGCGACAGGGCTCTCCTAGGCTTCATGTGGGGGGCAAAAGAAAAATTGGCAAGATTGCAAATATCAAGGAAACAATGCCTGAAAAACTTGATTGTAGCGCTCAAGACAAGGGTTCCAATCTGAGCGACCATGACACATTCTAGAAGTTCTCTAAACTCCGATGGATCATTAAAGTTGTCGAACCAACTGCCATCTCGTCGATTCAAATCACCATTTATGTTTTGCTGCTCATCGGCCTTTACTTAATTAGACCTCCTCTCTGGAGTTGGTTCACTGTTGTTCTTTAAAAGTCTGCCCGAGTTCGCCCGGCATTCATGCAACCCACAGAAAATCCCATCTTTTCCCCTCACAGACCATTCGAACCCCCGCGAAATGGAATGGAGCAAGCATGGCCGGGTCACATCAGCAACCTGTGGATCGTTCCAATCATGTCTCATTGGCCTTTGAGCCCTGCAAGGGTGTTCCGTAAGTCCGAAAGATAACTTTGACCATCAGGCCGGTTCAGCCGTTCGATCGTTACACTTCATCTATGCATGTGCGTTACCGGCGGTATGGACTTTCCTTTGTCAAAGATAAGGAATTGCTATCTTATCATTTTCCGCCGGGCTGCGAGATTTTTCATGACGCCAATCGTATACTGACAATGATGTTGTTGATCGGTCGCCGTTGTGGCTTCACGAGTCAGACTAGAGTGCTAGTCCTGCCGATCTTGGCGCACCTTGTCGAGCTTGCCGCCGTTGTTAGCCCGAGGAGAATGGGCTAAGATGTGTGGCACTACAGGTAGGCCCAGAAATAAAGCCGGCGCTATGCAAGCATTCTGCAAGTCAAGGACTGCTAGAGGGACACTGTATTCGTACATAATACTGAGGGATAGCTGCCAGTCTGTTCCCTTAATATCAGTATTAGTCTGGCAAGCTTATGATGTCAATGAAGCCTGTTCAAGTTGCCACAACTATCGTTGCTTTGACTTCTTAAACATGGCCTGCCTTCTGCCTAGCCGCCTCACCAAGTAAGTAATCGATCGAAAAGGCGGCTCATGGTCGTAGTTGTGAGACTTGGTATTGTTATCGGAAGAGCCACCTGAACTACCTCAAGAGAAGTAGCTTCCCGCAAACAGCTTCACTTTCGTCCATTCCGAAGTTACCAAGGCATGTAGTGATTTGAACTTCAGAGACATAGACATTCCCCCAAATCAAAGGATCCGCATATCTTCAAGCCAACTGCATCCGTTCATCGGCTGGGCGAGTTCCACGCTGCAATCGTTGTTCTACTATTGGGTATATGCCCGGGTCGAAAGAAGTAGGGTGTAGATTCCAGGATCTGGTTCCTCCATGCACCCCATTAACGGCGTTCGATTTCGACGCTTGTAATCAATCCTGAACATAGCTCCCATCTCCTTCCTGGCAGCCACGGCTAGTCTCTTTTCGCAGGACGAAATACTTGGCTATCAGAGGCTTTGATCCTTCTCGACGCCGAGTTTCAGAGCGAAATTATAGACCAGGAATATGAACAGCCCTTCAATTGCCATTGAGTGTTCAGCCGTCGACTCATGGATGTGCTATAGACTACGCAATTCCCTTCGCCGTCAAGTCTCTCGCCAGCCTCAAGAAGTCAAGATTTCTCTGTGTGAACAGTTGCTTGCCGAAAGTGGTTCAATAAACGGCTGGTCAATAGTGCAATGAAGCTAAATGATCGTTTCAAGAGAGGCTTTCTACTTCGATCATTCATCACACAGATTTACGAATAAGTTGATAGAGGCTGAAGCTAGATTTCCAAGCTAGATATGTTGCACAGAAACGCAAGCTCATCAACGATGCTCTTGCAGTCTGAAGCAAGGGAAGACACTCAAGATGCATATCTCCACTCACTTGTTTCTCCAGAAATCCTGTCTTGCTCGTCCAAATCTTTGTTCTTCTTCCAACAGTACCATTTGGTGATGAGAACGAAAATCACTGTCAACCCACATCCGGTAATGATAGCACCGCCTCCCGTCTGATAGTATGGTTCCTGGTTTCTCAGAAAGAAGTAAGGCGTAAACCAGTGAGAGACAGAAGATACACTGTTGGCAATTGCAATGAGAGCGGCTCTTTTCGTCCGTGGTCGAGGTACGACAGTTGTCTCCCAAGAAATTTGCAGCTGTTCCAGTCAATAATGGAAATTCTTCAAGAAAGAAAGAAATCCTATGAACGTACATTGAGGCCGAGGAATGGTCCGGTGACCAGCAAAATCATCGAGAAATATCTGGCACCAACGTTGAGTGTTGTGATCATCACAACGCACCCAGCCAGTGTAAACAGCATCGGCACGATAATGTGGTAGCCATGTTCAAGCATTCGACCGGACGACCAGGAAACTGCCAAAGTTACGAGAAAAGCAATAATCGGAGGTGGGGCTTGAATGAGGTACGTCTCGGTAGCGCCGAATCCGAGAGTAGCGAGGATCTAGAGAAGTCTGACGTAAGTAATGAAGTTCGACCTGTGGTGGGAGCTGACGTGGTTTTGACTGACCGATGGAAAGAAGTCTTTGTAAGACTGCGCGATTATAAGGCAGAAATGAATAGCAGAGAAAAGGTATGTGAATGGGTCTCTGAGTGCCATCCAAACTCCACCCCAGTAGTCGCCCTCATCATCTTCAGTGCGACCGCCGGCCGACACAGTTTGCCGGTACTGAGCCATTTGCGACTCTTCGGCAGTCAGGAAATAGGTGCCAGTCGACTCGGGAAAGTTGGGAATGAACCAAAAGCTTGCCAGACCAATAATGATGCTGACGATACCTACAGCTGTGTTAGTGAAAGGAGAGTCTCGCCATATATCCATAAAACTGACCCTCGAGAAGCAAAAACCACTGCCATGCTGATAGTCCGGCTATGCCATTCATATTGCGGAGAACTCCAGCAGCCAGAAGGCCAGAAATAGCCTGCGATATTGTGTTTCCGGCGTGCCAAATACCCATGCGGAGCGGAGACTCATGTTTCGTGTACCAAGACGACGTCAACAAAGACACCGCTGGCACGAAAGGACCTTCAGTCAGGCCTACTACAAAGCGACACAGGAGAAAGCCCCAACCGGCAGTGACAGCAGGCATACATAAAGTGGTAATGGACCACCCAAGCATACAGCACGGAAGCAAGATTCGTGGCTTTCCCTTCGCGATGATGACATTTGCGGGAACCTGTGAAATGATGTATCCCACATAGAAAAGCGAGATACCGGCAGACCACATCGTATCTGACATGTGCAAGTCATCTTGCATGCCGGCAAGTCGTGCGTTCGAGACGTTGATGCGGTCTAGATAACTGAACATAGAGAGTCAACAACTGAAGGGGTACATCATTGACCGAACATAAGAGAACCAAGTGGGGGAGTTCGAGACTCACTTCATCATAAGCATGGCACACACCATTGGGAGAAACTTCCAATCGAGACGTTTGCGAACAGCTCTATCGAGTGCTTTGAGCTCCTCCGGGCTTTTGTCTCTTATGAGGTCGTATGGCTCCAGTAGAGGGTCGCGGGTAGGAGCGTTTTCTTCCCACTCAATCCCGACTTTGACATCAACTGAGCCGCTTTTAGAGCGAGGAGGAGTTGCCATGGTAGTTGGAGACTGTCTGATCCAGAAGAATAGCGCGCGATAAGAAGAATTCAGAAATGGTATCTGACGAGAAGATTCCACATCTTTTGTACTCTTGCGACAGAATGGCCTTGGGGTATTGCTCAATTGAGAAACAGCATTTTGCGACAACAATTTCATAGCCAAACAAGCGTTCAAATTCCCCGCATTGGAGCCCAGTTTCCCCGCGAATTGATTGTGGATGTGTTGCGGGCTGTCTGGGGTTAGTCCAGTCTCTGCCACTACCGGAGCGTGTCCGATGATTGACGACCTTTCCCGGACTGGGTCCGGTCGGCATCAGATCTTGCAACCGGCCAAGTTCTTCGAAATAGGAATTGTGCCTAGACTAGTGATAGCGATTGCTCAACTATTTTACTTCACTGACGGGAATCGCCGCGCTGACTTCTAGGCTGAGGCGTACTTCCGTAGCTGTTTCTTACAATTATCCACCACATACTACTGATCAGGCACTCCGGCTGAACTGACTTGTCAATTAGTATTTATCACGCGTAACGAAGTAAATCATTGTGCAGTTCACTACGCTCATGTGTTATCCCGCTGTATCCGACTCTGTCCATAGTTCTACATGATTTACTACAAACATCTATGCAGACTTAGCGGAGCAGCAGTAGACGAGGTTTAGGGATACTTCCGAGAAGTATAACCCACAGTGTTGCCCCGCCCCCCTCCTCTGCTTAACTAAGCCTTAACACATTACTCATGTAGCCACCTGTAATCCTCTACGTGAAGGTAAATCGAATGAGTCGTTGAGATCGACGTGGAATAATATCTGGGAAATGGTTCCACGAGACGGTCTTTGAAAAGGTTAGCCAAGCCACATTTGCAAAGAATCGAAAAACATCGAAACCGTCTCACATTAGATGTTGTTTCATCAGTTTCCATATTTCTGGTGGAAAGGCTAAGTAAGACCTGTTGAAATGCTGCAAGTGCAGGAAATCGTGATGCGGCGATCGTCACAAGCGTCGAGGCTTTGCTAATGACTTCTGTCACTTCGGCGAGTCGACGCGCGGCAAAGTCATTTTGACTTCTTCGACGGGTGAGGCATGCAAAAGCGACCGCAGCTTGAAAGATGTCATATGCATCAATGAAGCTGCAAACAAAACTTCCCTTAATAAACAGATCGTAAGATCGGTTGATAAACTGATATGATGTGTTAATGGTATCAGTCTCAAGATCTTGGTTGTTTCCTAGCCAAAATTCATTTCGCACGATTGTTTGAGGCGTCAAAGATGCAAGATGAATCAATGCCCGGCAAGATAGCTGTTCAAAAAGATACAGAAGATGCGGAGCAGAAGGCGATTGACGATCAACGTTGGGAGGTAGATCTCTCCAATGAACGATATTACTGTAGGTAAGTAGAATGTCCTCTCGTCTTCCTGACCGGATACTTGAAACCAGTTGAGAGTAGAGTACAAGATAGCGAATGGTTTGCGATGTTTGATGCGGCGTCTTCGTTGTAATGGATAGGCCATCGTCTTCCGCTGGGAGCTGAAGCATTTATGTCAACTTTGGATCGACGGACTAAATGCCTACGTGGTGCCTTCAACTTACTTGTACCGAAATGTAATCATCCTGGATGCTCAAAGGGCGGTCCATGACAAGGCTGAGCATGCTAGGGCAGAGTTCAGTATTGGAGATTCTAAGTTGATCACGGACACAATTATGGCATACCGGTCAAAGGAGTACACGGCCCAAAACAACCATCGCCGTCTGTCAGCTTCAGGTAGCCCAATGCTCGAGTTCGCGTCTGGCTCTCGGTGCAGATCGAGCGAGATACATGTTTTCATAGCCAGACCTAATAAATGCCAGGCAGAGCCACCGGAGAAGTTATAGAGAGAGTAGATGGTAAGCATGATCATGCAGTGTATGTGCTCAAGGGTCGATTCAGTGCGCAAGATGGAAGGAAGTTCGCCGAGGGCGGCAGAGTGAAGGCTTGCGTTAAGAAATGAAAGGTGAGTAGAAGTCGGAGAGAGCGAAATTCCAATAGCGCAAGCCATGTGAAGATTGAAAACATGTAATGGCGGAGGGCTCTGTGCAGCATGGCAGTCAGTTCTACATGCCATAACATCCTCACATTGCCGGAGATAAATGTCCTTGTCGATGTATGGCATAATGATTGGCCATTCCAGGAATTTTCGGACATGCTCAAGCGTTAGATCCCGGCTCTCTGAACTGAGGCGACTGTTCATATCAGGAGTTTGAGGTGCCGGCATAGCTGTGGATGGGTCGCGTCCATCAATAGCCAAGGCCCCGGAGATCACCTCTGCTAAGGAAAACTTCCTGGGTAGATCATCGGAGTTATCTCGGGGCTCGGCCATTGCATTTCGTGATAAGAAGCCGATTGCCCCCATTGTGGCTCTCACAGAAGAATCTTCGGTGCCATGTCTATTGATGTTGACAGTGTCGAGCGCACGGCTTGAGGTTATCGAGATAGCATCTCGAGGTGTCGTAAGACTGTCATCCATTGGAGAAGAGCCATGACATGATTCAGCGCGACCGCTGTGCGTACGCGACCGTTTTCGATGGAGCGATTGTTCTTCCAGATTGGCGATCCGTCTTTTCAATGACGACACGTAACTTAGATTCATCAGCAAGCGTATCATCGGGCAGAAGACTAGGCTATACTATTACCCAATGACTGAAGTGTGAGACAGCTCAGATACTGTGTTGAAATCTTGGTTCCGTGGGATACACTCGGCCCCTAGCCCACTGCACGAGGTGCATGCCGGCAGACGTCGGTCGCACTGATGACTATCAGCTAATACTGATTTGTATGGAATCTGAACATCGGGATTCTAACTTTTTGTTTCCTCTTCCAACATCTTTCGCAAGCTTGTGGGCGAGTTACCGTGGATGTTAAGGGCGACTCAGGTGTTCCCCTTAAGTTCGGAGCCTCCTGCGCACATGCAGACGAAGTCGAACTCATAGCCCCACTAACTATTCTTTCATATTAAGTGGTTCACAGTCCGCGATGAGCCAGGTAGTGGAGGTGGGCGGTTGGGAACAAATGGCCGTCGTCGAGTTGGCATGATATGTGAGGTGGAAGCTGCAGGCTCAGAGTCTCGCACCTCCGACTGTTTGCCGACGTTGCGGGGTTTGACCCCCAAGCCTCCGTGGGGAAGACTGTGGAGGATCTAATTGGGCCACCCCCACATTTCATAGAGATGGACCACAGTTAGAGTCACCAGGGTTAATAAAGAGGCTACCATGCGATCTGATCAGTTATTGCCAGATTCGAAGCATCAATAAGTGACGGTCAGGGTTTCAAGATACAACGTGACAAGCAGGAGATCTACCCTCAATTCCACGTATATTTTATGTTTGCCAAACGGCAGTATTTCCTCTCGCAAGAGAGATACTGGTTGTGATTGGACCTATGATTTGCCATTTGTATGGGCAGTTGCCCTGATACTGAGGCTAGACATCTCCGCCGCTCTCTTCGCGGCACCGGCAATAAGCAAGGGGCCATCCGTTGCAGCCATGACCCAGCGCGCACCCATTTGACAAAACTTTTCCACAAGATCCATACGTGAGTGAAGACCTCCCACGCCAACCCACTTTCCGTGCTTATTGCAGGCAGCGATCGTCCGCTCATAGGCTTCTGTGAGCCTAGGGTTTTCGTAGTCGCCAGGGATACCCATCTCAGCCGTCAGATCGTTGGTACCGATAAGTAGAGAGTCCACTCCTTCAACTGCTGCAATCTCGTCGACTAGCTCTAGTGCCTCAAGAGTCTCGATCATTGGTATAACCAAAGTAGCGTCATTTGTAATGGGATTGGAGACCTTGGCAGGAATCGTACGGAACTGATAATGAGGCAGTCCGTTGGTTGATGATCGTGTGCCGATAGGTTGGAACTTGGCAGCCGCAACAACGTCTCGTGCGTCTTGCACACTGCGAATATGCGGCACAATAACACCAAGGGCACCACCGTCTAGGATCCTTGAGACAAAAAAGGGGTCCTTGCTGGGCGCTCGTACTATTGGCGAGATCCCGGCGTACAGCGCGGCAATGCACAGTTGAGAGGTCGTCTCGAGATCGAATGAGGAATGCTCCATATCGACGAGGATCCCGTCGAATCCTGCTGTCTTAGCCATCATGGGAAGTTCTACCGACTTGACTAGTTTGACGCTCAGAGTCGATGCAACCTCATCGCGGAGGAGTTTCTCCTTGAATGAGTGGGGAATAGAAACGGCCATTTCGGTTGGGAGTGGGAATGTTGAGTGTTGAGGACTATGATTGATTGATTTGCAGTGTGAAAGAATTCTTGGAGCACATGTGACAAAGGTATTGTTATATGGCTTTCCAGTTCTTGTTCGTGGACGGATGCCCGGAGCCATGCCGAGGATTTCCATAACCTCTTCGGCGCTTCCGCAAGCTTTTCGGCCCTCCGATCCCATGTTCAAATACAATCATTACCGAAACTCTTGGCCGGTCGTATGGCAAGTGTCTATAGTGTTGTTCCTCCATAAGATTGCAGCCGACATATGGAGGCACCGGGGGCCGTCCGATACCTTCGGACCACCTCCGGATGGGTGTACAGGGCATGTATGGTGACTGATCTTCGTTGCCACCGTGTGGTCATTGACTCCGATATCCTGTTGTGTATTTTATGAATCAAATCGCAGTCCTCCAAATGTTCATACATTTCCATATACAACGAACTTCAGACGATGCTCCAAGATCACGAATCGAGAACGTCACAAACTCATCTTCAATCACCGCCGACTGTTGTTTCTCACTACGATCAATAAATCTGTCAATATGACTCCAGGGCTCGTATCTGATCAATCTGAAAGCGTTCTTCTCGGTACTAAGCCAACCGTGTATGTCTTGGATTCATTTCAGCCTGAGATCATCGACTTCTGCAAACAAAACTTCAACGCAATCCTACCTGGACAGTCCGAACATGCCAACTGGAAGGAAAACGCTCGTTTTCTTCTTGTGCGGAACTCGCGTCTCAC